TATGATGACCTCACCCACGTTATGTTTCTCCCGTGTAAAGGTGTCACAAGTGGAAAAAGTTTAAGAAGCTCTGCAGCAAAATATAATCCAAGTAGCTTTACCTGTCACTCAAGGTCCCCCACAATCTGTCTTCGAAACACCTTTTTAGTTTTTTTTTAAATTTAGGAGTAGAGCTGTTTATTCAGCCATTGATTAAGCTGACAGAAGCAGGCATGAACTCCACATTACTTTTCAAAATTTTTTAAAATATTATTTTCATAAGGTTGTTCACAATAATTGTTTGCATTCAACATTTCAACACCACTGCCACCACCATTGCACCTTCCCACCACCATTATTTTAAATTTTTCCACCACCACTAAAGCCTGCCCCATAGGCAGATGCTAAGTAATTTATTTTGTATTGCTTGTTATGAATAGTATAAGATGTCATGCAGTCATGAAAGCAGCTGAGCGCTCCTGGAATTCTAATTTTTTTTTAATATTTGGGAGTCTGAAGACATCTCTGCGGGTGCTGCTCTTTTCCGAGATTCATTTGTGAGTCTCTGAATCATGGCCATTAATGTGCTTAGAGGCCTGATTTTGATCTCTTTCGAGATTTATTTATGGGTCTCTGAAGCAAGGCTGATATATACATATCGGCTTTGTATAGATGAGCCGGAGGTGGTATGTGGGCATGACTCCCATATACCTAACTTTTGGCCATTTAATTTCTCAGGAAACTTGGTCTCAAGTTGTTGGGGTGCTGCCAGAAGCACAGCAGCAATTTTGGGATATCAAGAAGCCTGAAGGCACCATCAAGCTGCTAATGCACTCACCCTGCAGGTACAAGTTAACCTGTAGGGCAGCACCTTTCCCCCTTCTTGACCTTTTTAGTTTTTTTCTCACTGTTTTTTGTAACATTTGTCATGCACCCCAGGAAGCCAATGAGCAACTTTTTCCTTGCTTTTCCACCTGGTGCTTCGCCCTTGCTACTCCTTTGTTTATTTCTGCTCGTTTCACTTGTGATGTCCCCTCCCTATGTCTAACCTAAAAGTTCAGAGACTCTTATAAGGGCTAGTCATTTCTCATTTCTGTTGTTATAAACCCCCTAACAGGGCCGGAGAGCTATTACAGGGATTCAGGCACTTGCTATCACAAATCACACAATCACAACCATCCTGTTATTCGTCGATTGCCTCGAGCAGGCCCCAGTAACGTCTCTTCGTCCTAGCCCTGAGATTTTTTTTTAGAAAGTGCCATATTCAAGGCTCTTTCAGAGTTAGGAGAATGAGACCCTTCATTGTTACTGATATTTGGCATATTGGGTACGCCACGGGGAGTTTGCCAGACTCTGCTGTGTGGGCAGGTTACATTCGGTAGCCTGCCAGTTTGTCTAAAGTAGGAATGAGATGATAAGATGTCGTGCGCTTCAGGGAGCTGGGTTTTATAGTCTCTGAATCTTGGCCGTTGATGGGATTACACGGCGCCAGGGGGCCAGTTGGTGGGTGTGACCCCCGCCTACTGGAGTTTGGAGGATCTGGGTGGAGGAATGCTCAGCCCCGATCCGAGTAGGCTTGGAGATCTCGGCCCCACAACCCGCGTGGCTTTGGCCCTCTGCCGGTACCTTCATGTGTGCGGAGAGTGGTCTCAGCATGGTGGTGGCTGGTTCTGGAGGTCTTCGGCTGCCAAAGCCCTGGTCGGGGCGGGGAAGAAAACTCAACCCGCTCCCCTCCAAGGGGCCCTGGCAAGGACAGCTATCACCCCTGAACAGCACCAAGAGTGATCCCTGAGCACAGAGTTAGAAAGAAGTAAGCAATGAGCTGCTGATGGTGGCCCCAGTCTAAGATAAAGAAAAACAAGTAAAAGGTACGGAGCGATAGTACAAGGATTAAGGTGCTTGCCTTGCACATGGCCAGCCTGGGTTCAGTCCCCAGAATGGCATATGGTCCCCTGAGCCCCAACAGGAGTGATCCCTGAACGTAGAACCAGGAGGAAGCCCTGAGCACTGCCAGCTATGGCCCCCAAACCAAAAATCAACAGATAAAGGGCTCCTGATAGCCCCAGCTGTAAGCCATCTCACCTTCCTTCGGGTCCCTGTTTTGTTTTTAGTTGTAGCCATTTACTAATTACTTTTAATTCATGAAAGATATTAATGTTGGGCCATAAAGTCTGGGCTTCCTAAAATTCAACTACAAACCCACATCAGAGAACATGTTTTTCTTCCTTGTGTATTCTCATCTCATGTCCTCCCCACCAAAGGCATTTAATACAATACCTTATACTGGTCGGGCTGGAATGATAGCACAGTGGGTAGGGTGCTTGCCTTGCAAGCAGCCAACGTGGTCGACCCAGGTTCGATTCCTCCGCCCCTCTCGGAGAGCCTGGCAAGCTACCAGAGTATCTCGCCCGCACGACAAAACCTGGCAAGCTACCCGTGATGTATTCGATATGCCAAACACAGTAACAACAAAGTCTCATATTGGAGATGTTACTGGGCCCGCTCGAGAAAATCGATGAACAACGGGAGGACAGTGACATTATACTGGTCATTGGTTGCTACTCAAAGGAAAATATCTTTGAGGGTCTCATTTGACAGGGTAGTATATAATATAAAAAAATCTGTGTAGTTTGACTCATTTTGACATGTGGCATTTATTCATGGAACAGAAAAATCAAGAGGTCTGCAGACTGGCAGTTTGTCTATTTGTAGTCCTAAATTATGGGGAAAGGTTTTGCTCCCGCATTATCTTAAAGGAGGTATTTGGCACTCTGAAATATTTTCACATAAAAAAATAATTGCACGGGGCTGGAGCAATAGCACAGCGGGTAGGGTGCTTGCCTTGCACGCGGCCAACGTGGTCGACCCAGGTTCGATTCCTCCGCCCCTCTCGGAGAGCCTGGCAAGCTACCAGAGTATCTCGCCCGCACGGCAAAGCCTGGCAAGCTACCCGTGACATATTCGATATGCCAAACACAGTAACAACAAAGTCTCATATTGGAGATGTTACTGGGCCCGCTCGAGAAAATCGATGAACAACAGGAGGACAGTGACATTATACTGGTCATTGGTTGCTACTCAAAGGAAAATATCTTTGAGGGTCTCATTTGACAGGGTAGTATATAATATAAAAAAATCTGTGTAGTTTGACTCATTTTGACATGTGACATTTATTCATGGAACAGAAAAATCAAGAGGTCTGCAGACTGGCAGTTTGTCTATTTGTAGTCCTAAATTATGGGGAAAGGTTTTGCTCCCGCATTATCTTAAAGGAGGTATTTGGCACTCTGAAATATTTTCACATAAAAAAATAATTGCACGGGGCTGGAGCAATAGCACAGCGGGTAGGGCATTTGCCTTGCACGCGGCCAACCAGGGTTCGATTCCCAGCATCCCATATGGTCCTCTGAGCACCGCCAGGAGTAATTCCTTAGTGCAAAACCAGAAGTAATCCCTGTGCATCGCCAAGTGTGACCCAAAAAGCAAAAAAAAAAAAAGAGAATAAAAAATAATTGCAATAATGGGCTGGAGAGATAGCACAGTGGGTAGGGTGTTTGCCTTGCACGCGGCTGACCCGGGTTCAATTCCCAGCATCCCATATGGTCCCCTGAGCACTGCCAGGAGTAACTCCTGAGTGCAGAGCCAGGAGTAACCCCTGTGCATTGCCGACTGTGACCCAAAAAGCAAAATAATAATTGCAATCATACTAGTGTAAGTAGTGCACAGTTAATGAAACCTGTGACTCTTGACGAGTTGACCCTTGATGACTTTAATCTCATCTTTCATGTGGTATTTTAAAGTCCAGGTAAACCCACAGCACCATGTTTAATCCATAATATATCTAATAATACTAAAACAAACCTAACCATTGAGCAGTCATCCAGGGACATGTCAGGAAATATGTGCTCTGCCAGCCCCCTGCCCCCATCACAGTTCTGACAGTCAGATTGGGCTTACTCTTACTCTTGAGACTTGAGACATGCGGCCCATGTCTCATGTTCTGGGTGACCCTCGGTAACACCGCGAAGATCCCAAGCAGGAATTGCAGGGGAGGTGAGAAGAGCTTTGAGAGATGCAGCCTTTCTGCTGGCATTCGGCCCGACATTCTCCCACCACCCCTTAGATCTTAGATCTTAGATCATTTCCTTGTTCCGTGAGGTCAACATCATGGTCTGTGTTGTAGAAGAACCCCGAGGCAAAGTCTAGTAACTTGCCAGACATCTTTGTAAAGTTAATAAGAGACAGAAAGAAGATTTGTCCCCTGATGGTCAGACTTGCCCTCTTACTACTTACCGCAGTGCTGTGTAATGGGTTCCTGACCGTATCGCTCTCCCCGCTGGAGAGTGAAGTACTTCCTCACGCCTTGCTCACATGGTATAGCGCTCTCTCTAGAGAAAGCAGTCAGCTTGTGGTTTTTGAGTTTTTCATGGGGAGCTCAGTGGTCACAACAGTGGAGTCAGTCAGACCTGAGTACCAATCCTGGTTTAGCATTTTAACTACCAGAAAATAGCATGGCCTTGGCCAAGGAATCGGTCCGCTCGAAACCTGGTCCCTCCTCATCTGTAAAATGAGAGCAATATGTACTGCATATGTGGAGAGTAAATGTGAATGAGCACTTGGCACAGCTCCTACCATGTGGCAGATACTCCCTAAGTCGCCACTATAGTTGTTGCTGAATTATATGTTTGGGTCTGTTGGTTTGGATGCACACCCAAGTGGTTTTTGGGGTCTGCTCAATGTTTGGGGGTTGCTCCCGGTGGTGCTTGGAGGAGCATGTGGTGCCATGGATGCAACCCTGCAAGATGATACAGCAGGTAAGATGGTCACCACGCATGCAGCAGACCCAGGTTTGATCTTCAGCACCCCATATTGCCCCCTAAGCCCTAGCAGGAATAAGCCCTGAGCACTGCCGAGTGAGTCTCAAAAGCAAACAAATAACAGCAAAAGAAACAGAGACAACTAAAGAGGTGCTTTCTCTTCCCTTTCCTTGCTACTCTCTTTTTTTCTCTCACACCTTATAGGAAAACACCGTAGGGGATAATGATGGATCCTCTGGCCCACAGTGGTCTGAAAGGAAATTCCTTTTCATTCCAGAGGGACCTTCAAATGTGAGAACTCTAGGGCCCTTTGAAGCGGGGAGTGGGTGTGGGAGATGAACAGGAATGGGGGTTATTGCTGAGGAACTAGCCAGACCAGAGGAGTGGCAGTAGAAGAGAAAGAGGTTCCCCTCTCCTCTACACGTGGCCACCGGCAGGCTCAACGAGCAAATTTTCCACTGAAAGGGCATCAGGGTGAGAGGAGACGCTGCACAGTGCATCCTGCCTCCAGCAGCATGTCGAAGGAGATACCAGGGGGCATTTGGTCGGGTTAGCTGGCAGCTGCCAACAGTCGAGGCATGCACATGTCAACTGCACAGCCATTGAATATGCACAGTGAGAAATTAGTGTATGAGAATGTGTTCCACTTTGAACAGTTGCAGTTTGTTTGGCAAACGTAAAGCTATTTAAAGCATGTAGCTCTGCCTATCTAGTAAGTTAGTGAGTTCTAATAATACTTATCTGTGTCTAATTCTGTGAATTAACCTTAAATCATTTTCTGTCTGTCAATGACTTTCTTTTCCTGCTCTGCTCTCAGGAAGAAGACAACCTCCTAGAAAAGGTAATGAAACACATTGGTGGTTATGAGTGCTGGTCCCTGAGATATGTCCCTAGGCTCTCCTGGGGATCTGAGAGAGAATCCTGCCAAAATCAGCCTGTTGTGTTTAACCATGTCTGCTGCACAGGGAAGATATTTACTGGTGGAACAACATATGGAAATTCAATACATAAAAAGCAGTAGGACTCAAGGCTCTAGACTTGTGTCCCTCTGTGTTCAAGTGTGTCTTAGGTACAAGAAAAATATTTGCTACACTGATCAAGTATTGTAGCACTGTAGCATGGTCCTCCCGTTGTTCATCAATTTGCTTGAGCGGGCACCAGTAACAACAGTAACAAGAAGTCTCACAATGGAGATGTTATTGGTGCCCACTCGATCAAGTATTAGTACCCTTTATATGAAAAGCTGTAGGACTAAGGTTCACTATCTGTATTTTTTTTCCTTTTATACAGATGTTTATAGTAGCATTATCTAACATGGCCAGAACTTAGGAATAAGGGAAATGCTTGTTCAATAACTGATACATTAATAAAATATAATCACACATGCAATGTTATTCAGCGATAAGGAGAAATGAAGTACTGATTCATGTGCAGTATGGGTGAACCCTGAAAGCATGCTTAGTTCAAAAAATCAGTCAAAACAGTCACAATAGGGGCTGGAGTGATAGCACAGCAGGTAGGGCGTTTGCCTTACACTTGCCAACCTGGGTTCTATTCCCAACATCCCATATGGTCCCCTGAGCACCTCCAGGTGCAGAGCCAGGAGTAACCCCTGTGCATCGCCAGGTGTGACCCAAAAAGAAAAAAAAGTCACAGTATATGATTTAGCTATATGAAGTAGCCAGAACAGATATTTAGGGAGTAATAAAAACTACTTGAGGTTATCCTGATAGTTTATATATATGTGTGTGTGTGTGTGTGTGTGTGTGTATACACACACACACACACACACACATACACTTAACTATCTTTTAATGGAAAAAGTAGCTAAGAAGATGCCTTGAAGTATCTGAAAATTTATGAAGTGAAGGAGAAGGATACTACTGTCCTCCGTTTCCGGGGGGAATAAAACTGAAAAGGGAGCTGGAGAGGTAGTACAGGTAGGCTGGGTGCTTGCCTTGCATGCAGGCAACCTGGGTTCTAGCACTAGAACCCAATATGATCCTCTGAGCACAGAGCCAGGAGTAAGCCCTGAGCACTGCCGGGTATGCCCCAAGACAAAGAAGTGTAGATAACATGGGTTTTGTTGAAGTGAAAGTGATTTGTGTTCCTGATTGAGTGATTCATTACTGGAAAAGTATACACTTGTTCGAGAAATAGAACACAGCATAGAGCTGAACAAGAGCCTTAGGATCATCTGTTCCAGCTCTTCACCTTCACACAGGGGACAGTATTTTCTCCACTCTTAACAGGTGAGCCAACCAAGGCCCAGGAAGGTAGAGAAATTATCTAAAGTCTAATTGCTTAGGCCAGAGCGATAGTTCAGTGGGTAAGGTGTTTGCCTTGTACCTGGCCAACCCACATTCCATCCCCGGTTTCCCATATGGTCTCCTGAGTGCAGAGCCAGGAGAACCCCTGAACATTGCCAGGTGTGACCCCAAAAAGCCAATAGATAAATTTTTTTAAAATTAAAGAAACAGTCTTACTTGCTCCTGACGTTGGGGTGTGGGTAGAAGCTACTGGGTTCTCCTGAATGCCTAGAAAAGGGACCTAGTGAATTCTCTCCTTCCGGGGTGCTTCACCACTTCTGTCTTCAGTCAACCTGGAGAGCGCCCCTGCTCGACACATGAGCTTGAGAAAGTTTCTTTTTATTATTTATTCATGTATTTTTTGGGGGGTAGGTAGGTTCACAGCCAGCGGTGTACTCAGAGAAACCATGTGATGCCAGAGTTGCAACATTCATCCCAGCCCTTGGAGTTTTATGCCCTGCCCGAGAAATGTTTTTATTTTTTGACCACACCCAGCAGAGCCCTGTGGTTACTCCTGACTCAGTGCTCAGAGGTCACTCCTGGCGGTGCTCCTGGGACCGTGAAGTGACGGGTACTGAATCCATGCCCTCTCTGTGTGGAAAAACATGCACTCCAGCACACTGTGCTGTCGCTGAGACGTATTCTTAAAGCACTTTCACGTAGTCTCGCCCATAAAGTTTCCATTTCATAGAGTTTGGGGCAGTTTGATGGTGAGAGGGTATACTATTTTTGTGCTTTACTTCTTAGTATGATGGTTAAGAAGTGTGTCCTTATCAAGGACCAATTTACCTAGCTGCAAGAGAGCAAAGTGTACCCATTCTCCCTGGAAAAATTCAGGATCAGGTGCTAAAGCCATAGTAAAGTGAGTAGGGCACTTGCCTTGCACACGTCTGACCCGGCTTTGATCCTGGTACCCCATATGGTCCCCCTAGCACCATCAGGAGTGATCCCTGAGACCAGAGCTAGGAGTAAGCCCAGAGCACCATCAGGTATGGCGGAAAGGAGGGAAGGAGGGAGGGAGGAAGGAAGGGAGAAAAGGAGGGAGAAAATATGGGAGGGAAATCCCTGAGCAGCCAGGTGTGACCCAAAACGAAAGAAAAATGTTCAGGGGGCTCTCTAGCAGTGTTCAGAGGACCTCTCCTGGCCATTCTGCCATCCAGGCCTGAGGGTGTGTTGCTGCTTGGGCCACAATGACAGAGACCACCAGGGCCACCCTGAGAATGCTCTGGGGCCTTCAGGACTATACCCAGGGATGCTGGGGAGACCAAGTGGTGCTGGGGATCTAACCTACATCGGACACCATATGTCCTGACCCGTCTCCAATGTCCCTGTTCCCACTTTGTAGACTTCTTTTAAAGTAACATTTCCTTATCAAGGTCTTCCTCAAGACTTCACAGACAAAATGATGATGTCCTATATTGTCATACATGAATTTGAAAATTGACGGTGAATTTAACCTATTGACATTTTATTAACCATTTTAAGCCCCTAAAGATTGAGAAGGCAAATAAATAAATAAATAAATGGGACCTGAGCGACAGCACAGTGGGTAGGGCGTTTGCCTTGCATGCGGCTGACTCGGGTTCGATCCCCGGTGTCCCACATGGTCCCCCGAGCACTGCCAGGCTGCCTGGAATAATTCCTGAGTGCAGAGCCGGGAGTAACCCCTGAGCATTGCTAGGTGTGACCCAAAAAGCAAAAAATAAAATAAAATAAAGATTGAGAAGACTCCACTTCCAGGCCCTCCCTATTCATCATTGGCCATGGTCTGTCTATTCATCTTGGAAAGTGCCTTTTGGTTTCTTTACCTCTCAGTACAAGAAAATCAACAATTGGATAAATCAGTACTGAATAATTTATGTATGTTAAGTTTGGGGGCCTCCACTAGAAGAATCCATACATGTGTTGCACTTGGTCCAGAAAGTTAACAGTGCATTATGGACAATATTTTGGCTCTGACATCATATGGAGGCCTGGACCTAATATAGCCAGAAAGAAGCTAGTAGATCGGTCACTCGTAAAAATTCTGGCAGCTCTAGGGAGCATGAACATCAAATGAAAGAACCCCAAGTTAAGAAACAACGGGAGTAGAATACATTTGAAGAAAATCAATATCAAATAATAATCAACTCATATTTCCTTCTCTTCTTATACCATTTCAAAGTGACATTAAAAGCATACCAGTGCTCTTTGAAGATCATAATATTAAGAGCTCTCAGCTTTGTTCTACACGATATGATCTCAAAGTAGTTAAATATTTCTCTTTTATGAAATAGGGAGGGCTCCCACACGTTGCTGGGTGGGTGGTGGTTGCGCTGGGGATGTGGGTGGGGGACTTGGCTGGAAGCCATTCCTAGTGACACTTGACCGGTGTGGTCAGATGGTTCAGTGCTCAGGCCCAGCAATGTGGTGCTGCTCTAGCCTGGCCTGACTATGTTGAGGGCCAACAGGATCACACTCAGTGCTGCTCAGGGGGCCCTATGGTTCCAGGGCACAAACTCAGGTCTCTGCACAGGCAATGCAGATATGCACCCCTGACCATTGCGCTATTTTCTTGGCCCCAGATGTTTTTTTCTTTCTCTTAAAACTACTGGGCAGAGGTTATAGATGAATTTTACAGTCTTCACAACTTGTTATAGAAAAAGTTGAACATAGAGAATATATAACTTAAGCAGAGATGGAGAAGGGGGAAGAGGCACAAAAATGCTCAACCATTCACCACTTGGGAGTTTCTGAGGACTGCCTTCTAATTCCCTTTTACCTATTCTAGGTATAGTATATAGTATAACATATTATGCCTAGGTGGTATCAGGGATCTAACCCAGGCCTCACAGAGATACATCCCCAACCCCAATATAATTTATATTTGACTAAATATAGGATAATTGATTTTATTCCTCAGCCAATTTCACGTTCAAATTTAGTTATTCATCGAATTTACATCACTTCTGGATTTTTTCTCTTAGATGATTTCTGGAGAATCAAACAGTAAGTAAGGAAGAGAGTTGCAAGAAGTCAGAACTCCTCAAAATCTTGGTTGAGTGGTTAATGTAAAGAATATAAGTTGGGACTCAGACCCTAAGCTTTTCCTAGCATTTTCAGCATTTGGTAGGCCATCTTCAGTTTGCTATTTGGGGATCTTGAGGCTTGTGAGTTTTAGCGCATTAACATCAGAACCTCCATCAAACTGGCATTAAAGGGTTCATGAATGTAGATTTAATGTGGAGTATTATTATCTTTAGTTCCAGAGAACCAAAGAATCTCATTTAAATCAACAATGAGAACTGGAGTAAATTTATGGTGAGACCTGAAAGAAGAATTGGATAAAAATCAACAAAACGGAAGTGTGGGCACTAGTGTCTGAAAGTACTGTACCGGCGATTGTAATTTAATGGCCCTTAAGTCCCTGGGTGCATGCAGACCGTGACTATCTCAGTGGAGAGCTGGTTCTCAGTGGCATCCTGGAAAGGATTTATAACTCACAATGCAGCCACATGATAACCACAATAAACCCAGATGACATGCTTGATGGGTCAGTGAGCCTGTCTAGAATAGGAAAGCCTTGAACCGTGGGGATCAGGAAGTACCAAGTGCCTTCTGTCCTATAGTATCTGTCCTTAGTAATAAAAACATAAAACTCTTAGCAGTGGAGTTCTGATTGTACCCACATAAGCAGAGTTTGAAGGAGATTAAGTGGCACATAGAAGTTGTTATTCTCAGACCCATTTAATTCTTATTTCTTTTTATGTATTAGGAGAAGTCCCTTCTGCATATGGTTCCCTTGGATGATGGTGCCAGTGAGAGACCCCTTCAGATCCCCAAGGAGATCTGGCTTCTGGTAGATCACTTATTCAAGTATGCCTCTCAACAAGTAAGTGAGCAGGGACGGACTTGCCCTGCAACTTTGGGAGGTGTGTGAGTCTGGTAGGAAATAAGAATGCCTGTCAGTAGAGTACTTTTGACTTTCCCAAGCTACCTACATACAATAGCACTGTCAGATCACCTTAGCAGATAGAAGTATTCCTATGTACAGATGAGGGAGGTAAAGCACCTCAGCTAAGCCAATGATAGAAACTTTGGCAGAGCTGAAACCCAAAGTAATTATGCATGTCTTCTGGTTACACCTTTTCCCCTGGACCGGGGCAAAATGTCTGTCATGCCAGTTTTAGCTGTCATATTAGCATTGCAGATTTTATTATTCAAAGCAAACTTCAAGCCCATATTTTCAGCTTGGTTTTCATCACTCTTCAATTGTTTCTGATATACTAGCCACCCCTAGCCCATTTCCCCACACAAAAGAGGTTTCTTGGAGCCAAATTGAAAGATAATATTTTCTTACTTACTGAAGAATAATGCAACTTCAAGATTTAGTATGGCGATGACATTTATACCACCCTGAGCATCCCATAGGATTAGAGTGCAGTGCTCCTGACTGGACCCTACTTCTTCTTAGCAAGAAGCTAGAAGTAGGAATACCTAGTCTTTAGATCCAACCATCTCTATTCTCCTACCACTTCAGGAAAAGGCTAAAACCTTTGAGAAGAGTCTTCTGATTTGAAATAAAATTTCACACGAATTACTGAGATGATAAGCAGAAAGGGTGCCATTTTTGCTCCTTGTTCCCAATTGTCGATGTGTATTCCATTTGTCCCTTTCTTTTCTTTTTTTTTTTACTTTTTGAGTCACATACGGTGATGCACAGGGTTACTCCTGGCTCTCCACTCAGGAATTACTCCTGGTGGTACTCGGGGGACCATATGGGATGCTGGGAACCAAACCGGGTCAGTCACGTGCAAAGCAAACGCCCTACCTGCTGTGCTATTGCTCCAGCCCCTGTCCCTTTATTTTCTGCTGCTTTCTGGAACCTAGGGTGCTTATCACCCTAATTATTTTGCTTTTTCCCATTCATTGTAACCTCTTCCATAGGAGGACCTGTTCCAGGAGCCTGGGTTGCAAGATGAGTTAAAGGCAATCATTGAATGTCTGGATACCACCATTCCTGAGAAAGTTCGTATCTTTTTTTTAAATGGCTGAAGAAGCTGGATGAGGACTTGACCAAACTTCTTCCCATCTACATTCGACTTTTTGTGTTTCCATCTTTCTTTCCTTCATCACTGTCTTTTATTGTAGAGTACCCATTGACTACCCAGTTGTGTTTCTCTCTTCCTTCTGGGAACTTTTGACCTCTTTCTGTGTCATTGTCTTACTAAAAGGAATCAGGCAATAGTAACAACATTTTAATAAGCATGGAATAGAGAATCTACCAGGTTTGTTCTGCTTCATGCAGTGATTATTCCTGCCACCGCATGTCCTGTCTTCAGGACAAGGAGGAAGATGGCAGCTAGTTTCGAGGATTCATCTAGTGTGAACTGTCATTCTGCAGGCCCTGTTCTCCTGCCCCTCAGACAGGGTCTAGCCTCCCAAGAATCTTTCATCAGTTCTACCACAATTCGGCTACAGCATTCCTGGACCAGTGAAATAGCAAACCCCAGTCAGGGCCTCTCTGAAAAAGAGGAAGGAGAACAGCCCATGAGGGAGTTTGAAGAACAGAACACACAGGGCCTCTTCGTGGTCTTTTTCCTGGAATCCCTTTCCCTTGACTTCAGTTTATCCAGCTGGCTCTAATCACTCTGTGGCAGAAGCACTGGTCATTTTCTTGGAAGCCCTACCAGAGCCTGTCATCTGTTATGAGTTGTATCAGCGGTGCCTCGACTCTTCTCAAGATCCCCGGATATGCCGGCAGGTGTGTGTTCGTTCTTTGGGGATATGTTTGGGGCAGGTTTTCCCACGGGGACATCATCAGCTATACAAAGCCAGCCAGTAGGCACCACCTACATCCGTTTGTTTTTTCCATGACAGAGCACCCACACGGAGAGCTGGGATCCATACACTTTAGGTTGTTTGATTTCGTATTAGACATGCCACCACCCAGTTTATGTTTACAGAAAACCTGGGGTGGAAACCTCAGCTTCAGGATAAGGTTAAGGAGGCTAAATGTACATGGGGAAATCTGACATTACCAGGGAGAGTGACACGTGGGGACCTTTTTTTAATTGAATTTCCATGAAATACACAGTTACAAAGTTGTTCATGACTGGGTTTCAGTCAAACAATAGAGACCCTGGGGTTTTTGTTTTGTTTTGTTTTTTTGCTTTTTGGGTCACACCTGACGATGCTTAGGGGTTACTCTTGGCTCATGCACTCAGGAGCTACTCCTGGCGGTGCTCAGGGGACCAAATCGGATGCTGGGAGTCGAACCTGGGTCGGCCGCATGCAAGGCAAATGCCCTACCCACTGTGATATCGCTCCAGCCCCAGGACCCTGTTTTTTTTAAATCTTTTTGGTGTTTGTTTTTAATCCTGAAATGCTTTGATGCGCACTAGCTGAGATTCCATCTGAATACGACACTTCGGAGTATTGGGATGAATCCCATTCATGTTAACTAACATCACAAAGATGACCGTACCCCTAACAAATGCCATGACTACCCACCTGGAGAAATGTGAAGCAAGCAGATTAATCTTAATCTGCTTTTGAGGTGGGGTATGCATTTGAATGTGGCTGGCCATGTGGCCTTGTCATTGAGTAAACAGGTACAACCAGACACCTTCTATATTAACATTGGGTCAGGCTGTGACAGATGTGTGGAGTCTTCTAAAGGTTGGATTATGAACTACTTTTATAGCAGCTTTTCCTACCTCCCTTTCGTTTGTTCTCACTGCCCACTTTGCCGTTTTTTAAAAAACAGGTGATTTCCCAGCTTCCAAGATGCCACAGAAATGTTTTCCGTTACTTGATGGCATTCCTCCGCGAACTCTTAAAATTCTCTGAGTATAACAATGTCAACGCCAACATGATTGGTAAGACTGCTTCCTCCAAAAGGGGCACAGGGGCTAAGGACAATCGTGTACATAGTTCTTAATAACTTTCTAAATAACCAGGCACACTCCTGCCACTCCTGTCAGCCTTATCCCCTAGCCCCAAAACTCATCCCAAAGGTTTTGTTTAGGATGTATCTCACAAAGGGTTCCGCTGGTTTCCTTTCTCTCTTCTTCTAGCTACTCTCTTCACTAGTCTTCTCCTGAGGCCTCCACCCAACCTTATGGCAAGACAGACTCCAAGTGACCGCCAACGTGCTATCCAGTTCCTTCTGGGATTTCTGCTTGGAAGTGATGAAGACTAAGCCTCTTCCCCTTCTACTCTTCAAGAGTCTAGAGGAAGAAGACCTTTTGCACCAAGTATTTTAGACTAACATGAAAAATCATGCTACAGAAAGGGGCCTCAAACTGTTGGCATTGAAAACAAAACCTACTATTTCTAGTGCAAAACAAAGAGTTTCCTAGTCACTCCTTTACCATATTCTACACAGCAGAATACTTTTAGACTTATATTGCCAAGCCAAAGTTACCGTATTTTGGTGTTTATGTGTTTTCTCTTTATACAACAAAGAGATCTGTATTTACACTCCTTTACCTGGGGATGTATTTGTTGCCCTCCTGCCCAGCTGTCATGATAATCCTTTGCACCCTAGGTCTAGATTCTGAGATGTTCCCATTCTAGGCCTACAGGCACTACTTAATAATAGCTCAGACTTGTCCACGGTCAAGCACTTTTGCCCCACCCCTCCCGGTACCGCCCCTTTGCACTCTACTCCATTAGTTCCTACCATGCCAAAGGACGTCTGAGTCAGGTTAGTGACTCTCTGAGTGTCCTCAACAGTGTGGCCTAACTGTCTCCATGTGATTATTACCTGCATTTGTGCATTTCTACTAAATGGCATCTGTATGTCTCTGCAATGTTGGCACTGGGTGGAACCATATCCTATAAATATTCTCTGCTACCGTATTTAGTAGCGGAATTTTCAGGAGTGTTAGGGATCACATCTCATTGATGTGAGAGAATCACAGAGTGGAAGCACTTTGAGCATTTCAGGAGTAAGAATATTTGTGCTTGACAAGTCTTGCTTCCTACTGTCCCTTTTTGTTCTTAGTCACATGTTATGTAATAAGTATCCTGGATGTCTATAGCACCCACCCCCCCACTTAGAAATCCATCTCAGGAGCAACTCTTACACTACAGTCAAAAGCAAAACCTGCATCTCCAGGGGCCTCTTTAGAGATGCTGTTGCTTTCACCAATGAGGACATGGAGGTCTCTGAAGTCTCAGGCTGGCTATCACTCTCTCCTTCAGCAGAGCTGACTCTCAGCTAGTCCACCAGCTCCCAGCAGTTCAGGCATCTTATTCAGGCTGCATAAAAGAAACTGGGCAGTGGAACCAACCAAGCATCTTTCTCTCCCACCCAAGACAACCCTCTGAGCTTTTCATTTACTCAAGCTCTGGGGTAGCCTTTTGGAAAATTTAGATTGCTTGAAAAAACAGCCACCAATCACTGAGTGTATCAGTGCAGTTGACTTTCTCCTGGTTTGCTTTCTTCAAAACCACCGAATCAACTTATTCTTGTCTGTTACAGACAGACTTTCTATCTAACCTTAAGCATTGAGCCCTAACTCCTCAGACCGTTTAAGGAGAGAGCCAGGACAACACCACCACTGAATGGTTCTCCAGATCTCCCATCTCCCATTGGTTGAGTTCTTTGAGATAAGAGAGGATATATTCCTATAATATATAATTCAGCATTTTCCTGATGGGGAGTTGTGGAGCTCAGAATCAAGTTACTGCCAAATAGCCGCAGATCTGACATATCAGGGGCTAGATGTTGAATTAATTGGTTAATGGGAGGGGCTGAGTGATAGTATGGGGGGTAGGTCACTTGCCATGTGATTGTTTGGTTCCCGGTACCCTATATGGTCCCCTGAGCCCACCAGGAGTGATCCCTGAGCACAAAGCTAGGAGTATGTTCTGAGCACCTCTGGGTGTAGTCCAGAAAAAAAAAGTTAGTGGGGGACTTGAGCAGAACCTTCTGTCATCTACAGTAGCAATATAACTGCCACAGCAGAGGCAGATTTTCATTGCTGTGGCAAAGTCCTAACACAAAGACAGGGTAGAACGTCTCCTAGGCAACGTTTTCTAGTTTATTACCAACCTGGGACCTTGAGATGTTCAAAGACGTGGTTAGCGTGCTGTGTGCAGCTTCCTAGCTGTTTCTTTAGAAGTCAGATGATCTCCGTTAATTTACTGCCACAACCATTTGTCTAGGGGTTAAGGACATCAGACAATCTCTAAGTAGAGGGGCATAAGAAATCTGCTTCCCTCCTGTGCCTCCTCCAGCACTCAACCGCTAATTCCTAAGTACCTCTAACGTGTTCTTTCATAGCCTCTCTAAAGTAAGGAGTTCAGCTCCCGTTGGTAGGAAAGGACCCTGCATCTGCTGTTTGGGGGAAGAAATGATTCAAACCCACATGGTGAAGTTACATTAGTCTCCCTTTTACTGTTTTCTGATTCTTATTCTGTAATTGTTCTATTTCCCCAAAATGTCTTGGTCACTAAGCAAAGCTGCTAGTGGAATTCCGTATTCCGTATCATCTTTTTTTATTATAATTTATTGCAAATTTTTTTCTGAATAAATATATGTTGTGTGAAAAAACAGAGCATTATTTCGGTGGGGAAGAATCAAAGAGGGAAGTTAAGTTTGGGTCCCATTTGAGTGCTGGAGTCCACACAGCTCTGCCTATAATTATCATTTACTGTCTCACAGAGAAATCTCATAAGAATATTTTATGCATTTGACTTTAAAGATGAGAACTCACATATTTTCATAAACTAATTTTTTAAAGTCCTATGCTTTCAGAGAAAGCCAAGGATTCTTATTTTTACCTTGAGGATTCAGGTAACGAATTAATTGTTGGGAAAAAGGATATTGATTTTTTTAATTGAGGTAATAATGGCTTACTACACAATAATATGTTTTGGAATACAGAGTCATACATCTTTAGATGTACATTACCACACCACATTCAAGATATCAGTTTTTTATTCAAATGTTATTGATTAACCAATGTTTTCCAGTACTGTATACTTTCTAGAATCCAGTTCCAGACCTCACTGTATTTATGTGCTTTGCTCACTCAGCATCCAAATCCTAGTGCACAAAAGAAAGGGGATTTTTTTGTTTGTTATTTTGTTTTTAAGGGTGCTAGGGTTCAACAAAACCTCATACATGAAAAGCATGAGCCACATCCCATGCCCCACATTTCTAGTGCAATTACCCTGTAAAGTTAACTTCCTCTTGGGACCAGAGAGAAAGTACAGCAGGTAGGGCATCTGCCTTGCACATGATTGACTTTGACCCCCAGCACTCTGTATTGTCCTCGGAACCCTGCCAGGAGTGAATCCTGAGCACAAAGCCAAGAGTAAGCCCTGGGCATTCATTGCTGGGTGTGGCCCCCAAACCCAGTGAATAAAATTGACTCCCTCTGAGTCCTTGTAAGGATATTGATTCTTTTTTGCTTCAATGCTTGGGCCGGAGGATATAGAATTTCTTGACCCTGTGGTGGTCAGGGCCACACCTAGCAGTGCTAAGGAGGCCATGTAGCGCCAGGCATAGAAGCTGAACTGGGTGCATGGTAGGTATGTACCCTAACTACTCATCCCTTAAGGATGTTGGTTCTTTTTTCCTGGGGCACACCCAGCTGAGTTCAGGGCTTCTTCCTGGCGCTGTTCTCAGAGATCGCTCTGGGTGGGATTCACAAGACCATATGTGGTGCCAGGGATTAAACTGGGGTCAGCTGCATGCCTTAACTTCCTGTGCTCTCTCTCTATCCTAGTATTTTGATAATGATTCTGAAAATCAGTCTGGGTCAAATCCATGATTGCTCCAAATTATCTGAAATCTGGCAATTCCTAATGTATACATTTTGGGAGAACCCAGCTGTTCTTTTTTTTTTTTTATTTTATTGAATCACCATGAGATAGTTACAAGCTTTCATGTTTGGGTTACAATCACACAATGGTCAGACACCCATCCCCCCACCAGTGCACATTCACCACCACCAATATCCCCGGTATACCCCCCCTTTCCCACCCTCCCCCTGCCTCCATAGCAGACAATATTCCCCATAATCTCTCTCTACTTTTGGGCATTATGAACCCAGCTGTTCTTGCCAGTAGCCTCAGAAATAGAGACATGCCCCCACGAAAGAGCCTATTTTCACACATTTCATTTTACAACCATTGAAATCCAGTTTTTTCTACTTCCAGTGTGATGAAATTCAAAACTTAGTACTTTGCAAGGAAGCAGGGGCAAGAAGATTACAATTCTTGGAAGAAACGTTCCACTTTCAGAGGAACCCCCTCATAGGAGCATGCTGCCATTGATGGCTTGTGAACTCCTTTAGAGACTTGGGGTTTCAGAATCCATTCCTTTTTGACTGAAGAGACCTCAGCTGGATGTTTGTTTTCAACTAGGGCCCTCCCTCGTCCAGTTTCCTCCAAGCGTAAGCTTAACTTTGATGATTGTGCTGATTCAGTGTTGTTGTAAAAGGTTAGTTTAGCCCCCCCACCCCCTGGAGACCTTGCAGAAGGATGTATTCCCTTTTGCTAGTGAATCTCCCCAGTGGATGGAGACTGACACCCCGCTGTTTCTGCCAGGCAGCAAGGCATGATCAGTAGTCACTTTCCCAGAGGCTAATAGTTGCAACACTTAGAGATTTGGGGGCTGCTGCTACAGTACAGCCTTTAAGGTCTTGTTTTGTTTTGTTTTGGTGTTACACCGAGCGATGCTCAGGGGTATCTCCTGGCTTCACGCTCAGGAATTACTCCTGATGATATTCGGGAACCATATGGGATTCCAGGGATCGAATCCAGATCAACCATGTGCAAGGCAAGTGCCCTACCTACTGTGCTATCTCTTCTGCCCCACCGTTAGAGTCTTTCTGACTACAGAGCAAGCCCCTTGCTCTTGCTGAAGCCTAATATAAAGGGGATGTTGAATGTTAGGGAGAGAATATTAATGATGGTCAAATCCAAGCCCATTGTTCCAATGGACAAAGTCAGACTCACAGGAGACAAAGAAGTACTTAAGATCACTCTTACCAATAACTGTAGACTCAAGCACCATGTGGAGTCATCCCTGTCAGAGTCAGGGGAAAACCCAGAGGAGTGCTAGATGTGGCCCCAAAAACAAAAAAAAATAATCACTTTGGTCAATGACATAGCACAACATATTGTCAAAAAGAGCTTAAGCTTTGGACTTAAAATAGTTCTTTGTCCAACTTAAAAAGAATTTTTATGGTTCCAGAGAGATAATAGAGAGGATGGGCACTTGTCTTGCACATGGCTGACCCAGGTTCAATCCCCAGTATCTCATGTGGTCACCTGAGACCAACAGGAGTGATCCCTGACTATAGATCCAGAAGAAAGCCCCTAGTACAGCCAGGTGTGCCCCCTCACCAAAAAAATAGTTTTTATCAAAATAACCCTACATTTTAACATTATCAATTTCATTTTCAAACCATATAGTCAAATAAATTATCAACTGTTAACATTTTTCACTGATTTCATCATGTCAGTGACACTTGGTTTTCATTGTAGCATCAGGGACTTCGTCGTCTATGTGACCTTAAATTAGCTAACTTCCAATTAACTGACCTATAAAACAGAATGGACATGGTGCTAAACTTGCATGATTTAATTGCATCAACATCACCACATTCCTGACAAAAATCTTTTAATTACTTCCCAATGCATTTAGAAGAAAATGCAAACAGACAAAAACAAATCCTTGAATACTAACAGAACTAAAGTTTTTGGGAGGTTGTGCATGGTGGGAGCAAAGGATGATGGGACTTCAAGGAATTGTGGTAAAGGGTTATTGGCTAAAGGGTGGTGGACTTGGTGGTAACATTTGATGAGATGTACACCTTTGTTCCTAACTAGTATACAGTGTGGTAAACTAACATCACAATAGAAAAAAAGATGTGTTTTCAAAGTATAGAAGAAAATTCAGAGCTTCCCCTGGCCTCCTAAGTAGTACAATATTAGTTGAGAACAAAACTAAGAAGCAAGAAATAGATTCTGGTTTATGTTGGGTGCCATGACAAGTGTTGCTTTAGTTAACATTTTTTTATTTCTGGCCATCACTAAAACATTATTTGAGGACCTGGTTTTATTATACATAGTTATAAATAATCATCATAGTTCTTTACAGGGTTGTTTTGGTCTGGGGGAACACAGCTGGCAGTACACAGAGCTTATTCCTGGCTCTGTACTCATGGATTACTCTTGGCAGTGCTCAGGGAACCATATGTGGCACCAGGGATTGAACTAGAGTTGGCCTTGTACAAGGTAAGTGCCTTAACCTCTGTACTGTCACCCTGGCTTCCTACATAAAGCCACAGTCTTCAAGACTATCCACAGTCATTAAGTGAGGGCTTGTTCTACACCTCCTTATGTTACATGGAGTCTTCCACTCTACCAAAGACTTTCTGGTTTTTGTTTGATGCAACAACCTTGCCAGTTCAGAAAAATCCCGCCCTGTATTCAGCCACCTCCCATACTTCTCTATTTCAGAGTTTTACTGCATATCTTTTGGAAATGGGGTGAGGTTAAAAGAATAAATAACAAGTTCCATCACCAGCCTGTGGCTCCTGGCTGCTGTTGAGCCACTGTGGACACTCGTGCCACCTGCCCATGGCTCCAACTGATTCCTTTGATTATTTTTGAGGGAGGTGCATCTGGGACCACAACTGGAAGTGCTCAGAGTTCCGTATGTATCGCCGAGGTTCAAAACAGGGACATAGATGCAATCGTGACTAGCATCTACCCCCTGTACCGTTTCTCAGTCGCATGCTTCCTTGGCTCTTGCCTATCTCATACCTGGCCCTGCCTTGAGTGCATGGTTCCTAGCCCTTGTCTGCCTTATGGGAAAAGCCCAGCTCTAGCTCTGATATTTTCTCTTGTTCTGCCCTCATAAATCCATTCTCACCCAACCAGTACTACTTTCTTCACTCTGCCCTGTGTCTATAACTTTTTCTTTCACTTTTCTGTCACCTGTTTAGACCAGTGGTGTCAACTGCCAGTCTATGGGTGTAAAGTATTCAAAAGTCACTAACTCTGCTTAGCTTCTTAAACTGTGGGTTGCAGCCCCATATGTTAGCTGAATGTGGGCATCAGGAGAGCATTTGGCCAAAGTGAAAGGTTTCTTAGAACACATGACCAAAAATTGATTCTAATTCAACAATATCATGAATTCAAGATGTTACTGCAGTGCTTGTTCGTGTTGTAGTATGTGGGCAAAAAGTAATTGCTAGTGGGAAAAATTTTAAGAAGCTGTGATTTAGACAAGTGGATACCCATGCAGGGGCCGGGAGGTAGTACAACAGGTAAGGTGCATGCATTGTACGTGGCCAACCCGGGTTTGATTCCCAGCACCCCATATGGTGCTATGATCAGCATCAAGAGTGATCCTTGGGGCTGGAGCAATAGCACAGTGGGTAGGACTACCCTTGCCTTGCACACGGCCAACCCAGGTTTGATTCCTAGCATCCCGTGTGATCCCCTGAGCACCGCCAGGGGTAATTCCTGAGTGCAGAGCCAGCAGTAACCCCTGTGCATCGCCGGGTATGACCCAAAAAGCAACTGTGCTATCGCTCCAGTCCCTAAGTAGAAATATTTTTAAACACCTTAGACCAGGAGCCAGAGAGATAATATAGGAGGTAAGACTCTTACATTGGACATAGCCAACCTCTGCTTGAAT